CCAGATCGCGAGATAATGTAAAACACTGTAATTATAGAATTTCCTCATTAATTATGCAAATAAAGTCCTCATTTGCATAATTTGCATTTAATTATGTACATCTCTCTCTCAGCTACCTACACACCAAAAATAATGAAAATATGTTGTTCCTGTCTGGACTTATTGGCTTTTAAACATTTCGCCAGAAAGTGCCCTGCAGTTCCAGAACAAGCCGCTAGGGGGCCCAAACTTATATGACTTCTTTCCAAGCACGAGAGCTACCTTCCATCAAAATTTCATGACCCTAGCATGTCCAGATCGCGAGATAATGTAAAACACTGTAATTATAGAATTTCCTAATTAATTATGCAAATAAAGTCCTCATTTGCATAATTTGCATTTAATTATGTACATCTCTCTCTCAGCTACCTACACACCAAAAATAATGAAAATATGTTGTTCCTGTCTGGACTTATTGGCTTTTAAACATTTCGCCAGAAAGGGCCCTGCAGTTCGAGAACAAGCCGCTAGGGGGCCCAAACTCATATGACTTCTTCCCAAGCACGAGAGCTACCTTCCATCAAAATTTCATGACCCTAGCATGTCCAGATCGCGAGATATCAAAACCGGAAGTTGCGCTGCAGTACCAAGGGAAGCCACTAGGGGGACCAAAATCTCATCATTTCCAGTTTTTGTCACACCCTACCAACACACCAAGTATGAAACCAATCCATCCAGGCGTTCTTGAGTTATCTTGTTGACCAACAGACAGACAGAAGGACGGACGGATAAACGCAACTGAAAATATAACCTCCATGACACATTTCATGGAGGTAATAACCTCCATGACACATTTCATGGAGGTAATAATACAAGAATGAAGTTAAAATAGGTGCAGGAGGAGGGCAGAAGCATGGAGTGCTTGTACGAGGCCCTTTCCCCCATAAATTTAACAAGAAGAATGTAATCGATGATTTAGATTAAATCATGTACATGGAAAATAATGCATAAGAATGATCAAACAAATACGTAACTAGAATTCCGAGACCTCATACCTCCATGAAATATGATCTTGATATGTAAATGTAAATTTCTTCTTTAATTGTTCAAATGACCTCTGCATTAACATGATATATGCATCGTGATGTATGTTAACTTTTGATTAACTTACAGATGTCCCAAGTATGACATTCTCATCATTCACCATTACGAAATTATAGAATTTTCACATTAATTATGCAAATTAGGTCATCATTTGCATAATTAGTATCTGTTGAAGTTCCGCCTGCCATAGGTTACATAGTATAATGTAAAACACTGTAATTGTAGAATTTCATCATTAATTATGCAAATAAAGTCCTCATTTGCATAATTTAAATTTAATTATGTACATCTCTCTCTCAGCTACCTACACACCAAAAATAATGAAAATATGTTGTTCCTGTCTGGACTTATTGGCTTTTAAACATTTCGCCAGAAAGTGCCCTGCAGTTCCAGAACAAGCCGCTAGGGGGCCCAAACTCATATGACTTCTTCCCAAGCACGAGAGCTACCTTCCATCAAAATTTCATGACCCTAGCATGTCCAGATCGCGAGATATCAAAACCGGAAGTTGCGCTGCAGTACCAAGGTAAGCCACTAGGGGGACAAAAATCTCATCATTTCCAGTTTTCGTCACACCCTACCAACACACCAAGTATGAAACCAATCCATCCAGGCGTTCTTGAGTTATCTTGTTGACCAACAGACAGACGGACGGACGGACGGACGGACAGATAAACGCAACTGAAAATATAACCTCCATGACACATTTCATGGAGGTAATAAATTAATGACAAAGAAGTAGGGTGGTGTATAAATATGATGCTACAATGATAACAATAATAATTGGTATCAGATAAAATGAGAAAGAACACTATATGAGATTACTGCAAGGGGCTTGGATGGTTTATCAGATGGTTTTTCAGAGCTCGTTTGAACGGCGCCAGGAAAAAGGAGGTAGAATTTTTTAGGGCTGGTGGTAGTTCATTCCATAGGGTGACACATTTGTATTTGACTGACATTTGGGCAAAAGATGTTCTTAGTAAGGGAATTTGAAAATGGGAACGTTGACGAGTTTCATAATTGTGAATCTGTGAACGAAAGTTAAGAAAGTCATCAAAGGTTGGATACTGCCTGGCCAATTTGATAGTCTTGCGACCACCGTAAGATCTGCTTGGAGATAAATACTGGTTATGCTCCACCATGTTCCGTATATCGAACAAGGACGTTCTTGATGGAAGGCAATAAGCTAGGTTCTCTGTTTCCGAGTTTGGTATCTCTAAACAGATATGGGGACTCGGTTCATTGTCAATGTTAATGCCTGCTTTGGCCTTTGGGAACATTATTGTACCTCTTAAATGATTCTTCTCATGGCTAGAATGCCAGTAATTCCTACTAAATGTTACAAAACAGGCGTAAAACAACGAGAACAAGCTTGAAAGTTCGACGAATTATAGAAATTTCCTAATTTGCATAATGTAAATGTATCACCTAAAATGCCGACATCTACATATATCAAAAATATGATGCTTCCTCATTTAGGAATGGGTTTGTGTGGCCTTTGTTAGTTAGATGCACAATATATTTTATGATTTTGAAAGGACAGACTGCTATGGGACCGGTGAGGTGAGGTGAGGTGAGGTGAAAGTTTTTATCCAACAAAAACGGAGATTGCTCACCCAACGCTTTTGACCAGTCACTCTGGTCTTCCTCAGTAGACTGACCCAGTGAGACTTGTCACGTGACGTCTTTGAAGTGTGACGTCAACACTGGACCAAAGTTTTAATTTTCAGCATGTAGATACCAACACAGATGAACTTTCACGATGCATGTAATACTAGTACTTTATGATTATTGCAGGTATCATCTTTGAGCAGTTGGTGGCCCACTGGATCCTGATTGATCCAAACACCGGACAGTTCCACATTCTGGAAAACTGGCAGCACACCACCATGCACGGCTTCTTCCTCCTGAACGGATTTTGTGATGTCCTGATCGCTCTAAGGGCGCCTGTACCGAGTGGAATAGACCACGCGACTTTGTCACTAGCCTGCGCAGTGGAAGGGTTGTTGTTCTTCTATCACCTGCATGGCCGTACTGACTTGGACGTACACGTACATCAACTGTTGATCCTGGTTATCGTCCCATGCGTGGTCGTGACCGGGCTGGAGACCTGGAACCCTCGGACCGTGTATCTACCCGCGCTCAGAGCTGCAGGAGCTATGCTGCAGGGGACCTGGCTGTGGCAGGTTTGTTTGTTTGCTTGTTTGTTTGTTTGTTTGTTTGTTTTGGTTGTACGTATCTTGATTAGCGTTAATTGATTTAACACTATTCGTCCTGAAGTCCGCTACACGATCAAATAAAACCAAAGAACAAAACCTTTACAATTAGTCAGTAATAGACAAAAGATACTAGTAAACAAAATCAAATGAGATAAACTTAAAAGTGAACCGGAGAGGTTAGTGTAAAATAACTGAAAGATAAACTGGGATATCCAAAAGTAATAATAATTGATAAGGTATGAATACTTAGATAACTGAGCGTGAAAAGTGAGGGACGGTTGTCTTGCAAATTTTAACTGTCTTCACACTCAAAGGGTTATGAGATCAAAGTATGAAGAAATCACACAAAATCACCTATGATTTGAGTTCTGTTGAGTTTCAAAATATGCTTTGCAAGCACTTATTCGTTGTTGGAAAGCCGTAACTCAAATGTTGCAATGGTCCAGAAAGCTAGAAAGGTGTGAACCATGATGGAAAACGTGGATTTACGTAGTTCTCTTCACACTCATTACATAATGTTTTTTTTCACGTTTAGATAACGGATCTTTATTTCCACAGGCTGGATTTATCCTGTTTCCTCCCTTTCCTGGCCATGAGTGGGACCTGGAGAGCCATGAAAACATGATGTTTGTCTCCATGGCTTTCTGTTGGCACATACTGGGCATCCTGCTCTTCATGTGTGTTGTCTACACAGTGGTTTATCACATCTACCAAGCCAAGGAGAAGCAGAGAGGTACCGAGCTGGAGCTGGGACCGCTGTCTTCTCACATGTTACAGACACACTCCGACTCAGAACTGGACTGATGAAAGTCTTTTCAATCCGTCAACATCAGATAGCCTTGGTGCCATCCGAGGAGGCTCCTTTACCCCGATTTTTTCGGGAGTAGCGAGTGCAAATGAGCTCTGTTTAAAGGATGAGAAAGCGTAAAGGATGAAAAATAAAATTCTCAGACTGTCTCTGTTTGTTGTCTGTTATAACTTCTTTTTAACTAGAAAGGCCGACATTTGCTTGATCTTGCTTTGGAGCAAATTCAGCATGACTTCACCACATTTCACGACATGGCTGGGAAAGAAGGAGAAATACAGGGAAAACAATTCTTTACATTGATATAACTATAGTATGAAGTGACAACAGTTGGATAGCTATTTTAATTGCATAATGCAAACTGTTGATTTTCTAGATAAAAGCGTTTATGCCCGCCTTCCAATGCTGAAGCATGAAAGCTTGACATAAAAGTTACATGTACAGTACAGGCCACGAAATACGCATCAAGTTCTGCGGGACGTACCGCGGCCGCGTTATTCCGCGAGACGTCCCGCAATATCCCGCAGTGGAGCACTCGGGTGGGAGGGGGCGTTTCGTAATGTGTGCCCAGAGATCCCGGACAATTCTGATCGTAAAAAAAATCGTACAATTTGTAAATATAGCTATCTTGGATTTGGATGTATTGAGGCATACATTTGTAATGAACAGATTCGTGTATTATATAAGTCATGTATGTATAAGCCCCCTTCTCTTCCGCAACTCCGTACGTCAACCTCGCCTATCTAGGAGATTTCCTTCTTTATCAGGTTCGCTTTTGAACCTCCTTGATGTAACGTAACTATCAACCCGGCTAACACAAGCAGTGGCGTTTCCCGTTACCAGTGGACAGTTCTACGAAAGTGCTTTGAAATTCTGCAGGACGTCCCGCATTTTTCCGCAGGACGTTAATCAAATCATATCCCAACAGCCAATCAGCAAGAAGAATAGAGGAAACCTGCATGCCTATTGGTTGCTCGCTCTGCATGTTTTTCTGATGAGTCATGCCCAAATACGGTAACACACTGCTATAGTACATTTTCTATAACGCTATCACAAAAATGAAGAAAAAAAACGCCTGGGGGTATTTGGCCACTGTACTTCAACACCAAATTTCAAGTTATTTAGCCCCAAAATGAAGAAATTGAATCCGTTTAAAGAAATGGCAGACGACAATGACGAAGAAGAAACATGAGAAAAAGCAATATGTATTGGAATATAAATATTCCAATCAGTTAAACCAGCAAGAAAATATGTCATGAGCTTGACAGAAAAATGATATAATAACTCTTTACAGGAGATTCTGGGAAAAATAAACACAAGGATCCTGAAACAATGTGAACACGCCTTTACGATATTCTAACTAGTATGTTGCCACATATCAAGAATTCTATTTTTGTTCTCATGCAGTAAAAGTAGCGCTACTTGATTAGGCGCTACTTGAGACTTGCGAAGTAAAACACTCAACATCCTGGTTTCAGTTTATTAACCCTTGTCCTGCTGGCATTCCTGGCACAATATTTTTCAATAATATCATGTCTTAATTAGATCATAGACCCGCAATTTTTTTTGCCCTGCAGTGGCATAGTTACTTCCGCATTCGTTGCGTTTCGCTGCGGTGTGATGCGTTGCACGAGAAATACCCCCAAATCATACCTATACAGGGTGCTATATAGATGGTACTGTATGTGCCGCGCGACATATGTTGCGCACAGCAGGACAAGGGTTAAGAAATCATGAAATATGTCTATGAATAAGTAAGTGCTGGTTGCAAGCAAATAAAACTTGGAAGAATGGTCGGAAGGTTCAGTGTTTGAAAAATGATGCACTGGTCGGATACGTCTTTCCTTACAACATCTGCTTGGAGATTGTTTTTGCAGTTTTCTTATCTAGGCGACGCCTTCCGATGCTTGCTGTATCTCGAAGCTGATAACAAAATAAAACTAACTGAAAGCACAAATATAATTAGGTACCAGTAGTAATTACTTTGTCGTCGATTTCGATGAATTTTACACTTGAAAGATATTTAATACAGCTAGAACATCAATCATCATCGAACCTTCACTGATGTGTGTGACATGAAAACTTATAATCACACTTCCCACACACGGCAATACACTTCTAATAATGACATTTCCACACATCTGATAATCACACTTCACACACCAATACACTTCCCATACCATGCACCAATACACACAATTCCCACACCAATACACATCTTTTGGGAAGCTATTCAGACATCGGTTGACACAATATATATTGTCAAATAAGACAAACTGTCAAAAAATGTATACGTTACGTGCGACTCATTGACAATGGTTCTTGCGACTAATCCTGAAGCTGCATGTCTCATCATCACCAGAATTTGTCACCTTCGCCATTTAAGGGTTCTTCTTTGATCTTCATTTGTAGTTATCTATCATATCAAGTAACTGAACCTGTAAACACATCTGTTAGTCCAGTTCAGAGTCGGAGTGTGCCTGTAACATGTGAGAAGACAGCGGTCCCAGCTCCAGCTCGGTACCTCTCTGCTTCTCCTTGGCTTGGTAGATGTGATAAACCACTGTGTAGACAACAGACATGAAGAGCAGGATGCCCAGTATGTGCCAACAGAAAGCCATGGAGACAAACATCATGTTTTCATGGCTCTCCAGGTCCCACTCATGGCCAGGAAAGGGAGGATACAAAATCCACCCAACCTACAGGAACAGATAATATAATTCTTAAAAAAACTCTTTTATTCAAGAATTCAAATACAGTAACGTTACAAGAATCAAAATACTAGCATCATGACATAGATAAAAGGGAATATGGAAGAGCCAATATATTTATTTATGATTATTGTGTTATGCACTGTCGTACGTTATTAAAAAAAACATAAAAGTTGGGTTTTACTAAAAAAACATAAATAAAATACATCAGTTTGAAACATCGAGGTATTCACACACGTGCAATTCAGCCACTTTCCCGAGTGTTGCGTAGAATAAGAATAGAAGTAAGAAATATGGGGGAAAATGTTGTTTCCTGTTTCCAGACCGACCCTAGCCTTTTTTTGTGTGTCCCCTGCAAGGGATGTATATTCTTCGAGCTGGTGGATCTTTTCTACCTCCACGATCCGACACCTTATTAGTAATGAAACATTGTACAGTAGGTTTCCAATATTGACAGTAAAAATATAAGTGTCTTCATGCAAGTTTTACTTTGTTAAACTGTATTTTATAAGTTGGATCACTAGAGATCGCCAAAGTCTAAAAAAGCTGTCTGACCTGCCAGAACCAGGTGCCCTGTAGAAGAGTACATGCTGTCCTGACCATGGGTAGTAGTAACGTGCCAGGCTTCCAGGCCTCCAGACCGCTCACAGCCGCACACAGACCGGCCGCCAGCACTAACAGCCTGTGCAGACGGACGTCCAGGCCTATGCGGCCGTGCAGGTGGTAGAAGAACAACAGTCCTTCAACTGAGTACGCCAGAGACAAGGAGACGTAGTCTATTCCACTCGGCACAGGTGCTCTCATGGCAATCAGAATATCGAAGATTCCGTTGAGGGCAAAGAAGAGATACATGGTGTTGTGTTGCCAGATGTCTAACTCGTGGAACTGTTGCGTTCTTGGGTCAATGAGTGTCCAGTGTGCCACAAGTTGTTCCTCCACTATTCCTGCAACACAAGTTTGATCGGAAATTGTGTTCAGCATAACGCAGGTATACCTGGGTAACCATGTAACTAACTACTAGCTCGTACAACTACACTGAATTCTAGTACCTCATGTCAAACTATTGTACTGATGTTGAAATCATATCACAAATGGTCTTCGCCCCAAGTGGTCAATCGTGAAACGTGAAACGTTACCTGCTATTCCAAACATAGTTTTGCACAGTCCCTCCACAGGAACTCTCTTCAAGAACCGACCTGGACCGTTGTTGCAACACACCTCAGCAGCAGAGCCTGTATTCCGGCCTCCCATCCGACGAGCCCACATGACGGAATACCTGATGGTCCACCACAGGCCAAAGAAGAGGAAGAAGCTGCCTGGGATGGCATGGCCTGGAAAATTCCCCATGAGTGACTGAAACAAGAATAACGAAAAAAAAATAAGTCAGAGGTTAGCCTGTCTTCAGGGCTCTAATATTTCCGCCCGTCCAGCTCAACCGACAGCCCGGTAGGAGTGTTTCGCCTGTAGGTTTTGCACGCCTGGAGTTGATACTTCCGTCGTGCAAAACCTACGGGGAACCTAGCTGAGTGGGGCATGGAAGAGCTCCTGCGGCCCCGAAGAGAACCCGCCACAACCACGGTAAACTGGGTACCAGGCTAACCATAGCTGTCGACATTGTCAACTTTGTGAGGGAGGAGGGAGGGGCAGTTGACTAGGTATGAACAAGGAAGAAAATGGGACTTACCTTACTAAGCTGCTACTCCTTGACGAAGTGTACGGTAGTTCAGACGGAGTCTCCAACTTCTCAATGTCCACTGACTTCAGCACTTAACCAACAACCAACAGTAGTCTATATTAAGTAATCCGAATTGTGCCACCTGTACCAAAAACTGCGTAGTATGAAATGTCATTGGCACAAGTACTGTTTAGACAATGTAACTCGAGTACCTTTCATTCGAACAAATTACAATGACCATGTAGCTAAGATACACCAACATCAATAGTTTAGGTTACCTAACCCATTGATCTTGATGTAATAGATCCAAGTTTGCTGGTCTCCGGTCTCCGATAGCCTGACTAAATCTGCGCTCATAGCGGCCGGTCCGGGCCGGCCGCTAGCAGCGCAGATTTAGTCAGGCTAGGTCTCCGAGGGCTGCACACCATACGTTTTTAACACCCGCCTGGCTAACTATCACTAAGTCCAGCACGTACGGTGCTATTTACCTACTTTTAAAATAACTAGCATCGTGATCCTTAGCAGCTGAACGGTCTGTCTCATCTGGTACTGAGACAAAATTTTCTCGGGGATGCACATGTTGGCTCTGGTGGGCTTTCGCCACCAGACCGTTGTGTGGGTACAACAGTGACGTTGTCTTACGTGAGTGTATCACTCATGTATCTCTTATATAAATGTAATTGTCAACTTAATTTGCAAAATCGTGCCCAAAGCCCGAAGTCTACTGGTACGTAACGTTACATTGTTGAAATAAAACCTAAGTAGTAGAGAACTACTGCCTGCTCAACTACAATGTTTAAGGCACTACGTTTTCTATTATGGGGTTTGATGTTTTAAAAACTCCCTCCAGCTCAACTCCCCCACATAGCGGTTAATTTAGATAGACGGGCGTACTGCTTGTAGCAAGTTGATAAAGGTAATAGGGATTTCATACCGTATTTTATACAGTATTTAGCAGTTACATGTAAGTGAAGGTGAACACCATTTAACATGACCTAATCAAATCAGGACCTCAACGGCATAAGTTAGAGGGAACGTTAGAACAGCTTTTGCTGGCTGTCATTGGGTGGAGAATACGATCAAATGAGGTTTTCCACCTCATCCTTCATATCAGATTTAATTGACGTGGTATGACACCTAAATTATAGCATGTGTTAAACAAGGTTTTCAAGTATGGCAGTAAGACTGATATGCTCTCTTTAAAGAACTCTGGTTGGAGCTTATCAATACCCGATGCTTTACCTGTTTTTAAGTTCTTAACGCTAATATTTCCTCCTCAATGGACTGGCCTGTGTGGGATAACATTTTTTGTTAACTTTATTGTTGTTCATAAGGCATAAAGTACAAGTACATAAGTGCACACTAGTAACATCGATAATATGCAGTGGTTACAGTGTGTGGGCTAACATGTTCTCAAGAAGTTCAGTCATAGTGCTGTTTTCCTCCACTGTATGGTCCTCTCCACTTTCATTGTACAGCCCCTCAAAATAGTTTGCAAACTCTTGTGCACCTATGTTACCCATATTATTTACTTTCCTTCCTTTAACTAACCTCCAGAAATCCTTAGGATCCCTCTGTACAGTTCTTAATTTAGTTCTCAAATTTGCCCTATGTGTTCTCCTTTTCGCCCTCAATAGTGCAACAGTGCTTTATATTCTAACTTAGCCTGTTTTCAAATATTTCATTTGTTCTCACATTGATCCCGCCTGTATTTATGGAGGTTTTTACTTAGAACATTTTCTGCCTGTATACAGTCCAAATCAAACCATTCTTCTTGATTGTTTGGTGGGTTTACCCTTTGCCTTGAGTGTTGTCTCATGGGTGCTGTATCCATCTCCAGCGTTTCACCTATTTTTTTTTCACCGCAGCATCTAATTCATTAGTTGAAGATTTAAATTTACTTAATGCATAAGAGTTTGTGCACTTTGTCCATGTAATAGGTTTCTAAATTTTTAAATGCATATGAAACATATGAAACTACAGCTAGACGGAATGCATGGAGCACTTCTAGCAAATAGTTTTAACACTTTGTGATCCTTGCATCACTCGGACAGAATTTTTGATATTGCTCATCTGATGTTGTACGGATTGAAAAGACTTTCATCAGTCCAGTTCTGAGTCAGAGTGTGCCTGTAACATGTGAGAAGACAGCGGTCCCAGCTCCAGCTCGGTACCTCTCTGCTTCTCCTTGGCTTGGTAGATGTGATAAACCACTGTGTAGACAACACACATGAAGAGCAGGATGCCCAGTATGTGCCAACAGAAAGCCGTGGAGACAAACATCATGTTTTCATGACTCTCCAGGTCCCACTCATGGCCAGGAAAGGGAGGATACAAAATCCACCCAACCTACAGGAACAGATAATATAATACATCATGTTTAATAGGATATATATATATATATATATATATATATATATATATATATATATATATATATATATATATATATATATATATATATATATACAGCTATGTTAGGACTAGAGCTAGCCACACTACAAGCTAGCCATACAAGCTAGGCATGCTACAAACTCGCCACGCTACAAGCTAGGCATGCTAAATCTAGCAACACTACAAGCTATAAGCACCAGAGATGCTACAAAGCTAGTCATGCTACAAGCTAGCCACGCTACCAACTAAAAAGTGCAAGATAGCCACACTACAAACTAGCCATGCTACAAGATAGCAATGATACAAGACAGCTATAAGACTACAAAACAGCCACGCTACAAGCTAGCCAAGCTACAAGCTATAGCGCTAGCCACACAGTGACTACAAGCTAGTCACACTAAAAGCTTGCCTTGGGTACTAGCTACAAGTTAGCCACTACAACCTAGCCACACTACAAGTTAGCCACTACAACCTAGCCACACTACAAGCTAACCACGCTACAGGCTAGCCACGCTACAAACCAGCTGGTAACACTAGCTAGCTCACCTGCCAGAACCAGGTCCCTTGTACCAGTGTGAATGCTGCCCTGACCATGGGCAGGAGTAAGGTGTTAGGCCTCCAGGCCTCCAGGCTACTGACCGTCACACACGGCGCCACGGCCAGCAGCAACAGCTTGTGCAGACGGACGTCCAGGTCAGCGCGCCCGTGTAGGTGGTAGAAAAATAGCACCCCTTCCACCGCATACGCCAGGGACATGGAGAGGTGGTCTATCCCGCTGGGTACGGGCGCCTTCAGGGCAATGAGGACGTCGAAGAAGCCGCTGAGGGCGAAGAAAAGGTACATGGTGGTGTGCTGCCAGTTTCCCAGCATGTGGAACTGACCGGTGACTGGGTCAATGAGTGTCCAGTGGGCGGCCATCTGCTCACCCAACAGACCTGCAACACAGACAGGCTGGTCAAGTGGATATAATGAATATAACCAAGGAGGTATGGCCTAGGGAAAAAGTTGTGTTTCCTGTTTCAGTCCTTTTTTTAGGGTCGGAGGTAAGGATTATCTTTTTTTAAATAATTTTTTAGACTTTGGCGATATCTAGTGATCCAATGTACAATACAATCCTGTTGTCATCATTGAACGGAACCTAAGGCTTAGTGGGTGTGTTTATAAAATTCATGCACTTTTTTCTACAGCACCAGGAAATATTTATAAATTATCATGAGTAGAACATGTTGGAAAACCGATTGTACAACGTTTCACCACTAAGTGACAGATCATGGAGCTAGAAAAGGTCGATCAGCTCGAAAAATTCTTGTCCCTTGCAGGGATCCCCATCAAAAAAGAGATATGCACACGGAATCTGCGAGAATGACAAAAATATGTAAAAGAAGAGAACATTTTTGGCGCCTAGTTTTGGCACCAATAACCACACACAAAAACTGCCTTTACTGAATAACTGACGATGCATAACTTATCCTCTGTTACCTGTTAATGGGAATAAGATCTTGCACAGTCCTTCCATCGGAACCCTGCTCAGGAAGCGACACAGGAGAGGGGCGTTCTTCCAGCAGACAGCAGAGCTGGTCTTTCGGCCTCCCATCCGACTGGCCCACATCACGGAATACCTGATGGTCCACCAAATGGCGAAGAACAAGAAGATGCTGCCTGGTGTAGCATGGCCTGGAAAATTACCCATGGTTGTCTGAAAAAAGGACAATACAGAAGGTTAGCACAAGGAAGTTCCTATTATATACTATTAGATGCACATTATCCTGGTGTCATCCTATTTGTTTAACAGGGCCCTCATACTGACCCTAGTGTAGTAGTAGTAGTTAAAATAAACATTGCTAAAAATTACACTCTAGTCTAGGTGTAGTAGCAGGAAGTAGTAGGATGGCAACCAGGCATGAGGATAGCACACGAGAGTACTGTTACGTATGTAAAGTGGCACCAGTGGCCTTGTGTTGAATCTAGAGGCCATGTGTTTGAATCCTGAACAAGTCCTGATGTTTTACCCTTACTAGTAATGAAAGGAATTTAGGTCAGTATAAACTTGAACAAGAATGCCAACTCTCATAATTGACACGATGACCCTGTCAACAGTGCAAAATTTTCTGTTCTTGACAGGATCATCCTTTTAACAGCGCATATTTTCAATACTAGTAGTGTAGTAGTACATAACCCGGGATTGAACACATATGACCTCTCAACTGCATGAGCTACTGTACACTAGTAATACCGGTAGTACTAGTTCACAATTCATGGATGGATTCAAAGGAATCCTGTGCTTTGTGTCAATATTAAAGACGATATGACTGTCAATAGTCATGATTGCCATATTACTAGCTTTTGTCCTTATTTTACGTGGTACCGGTCTTGGCAGGTTATCCGGCAGAGTAATAAGTTACGAACGTTTACTTTAACCTGATAGACCCCCCTGTTCCTACCCGCGGCGACTGTTGTAGGGCCTCTCTCTTGCTTGCAGTCTTTTACATTAGCCACAAACATGCGATCCTCAGTGCCGGAACACTTCGAGTCGGAACTCTGCACGTCGCTGGATTCCTAACAGACTTACCTAGTGTGCCGGGGTATTTTGCGCGTCAACCAGCCCCTGCGCGAGTCGTACCACCACTACTTGCTACTTGCGATCGCTCCCTGTGTATTCATAGGCCGAGTGGCCGCCAGCGTCTTGGTCAGCAGCGCGCCGAATCGGCCGCTTTCAAATGTGTCACTACTTTTCTGATAAGCCTTTTCTATGGATCCGAAAAGTAGTGACACATTTTACGCATAATCAATGAGAAACATTTACAATTCCTTAATTGAAAATGATATTCATGTTGTAATATCTATATCTTACATTTGATTGCAAGTCTTACATATAGTAAATCTAAAATGCCAGAAACATAATTAAATATCACACTTTACATTATTGCAATACATGTTGCAATACATTGTCAATAAAACATTGGCCAAAAATCCATGACTGAGCTGCAGAAAAAGAAGTACATTTGTACAATGTAATAAAATCCCACTCTTGATCATCATCTACAAAATGCCATTGATTCTAACCTATAATACACAACTAGAGTTAACTATCATTGCAAGAATGGTAAAATTGCAGTTTCCAATACAATTTACATAGACTATAGCACAAGACAGAAACAAAATATCTTCATACAATACAAAGTATTGATCCTGTTGATCACATTAGGCAGCAAAAACTTTGAGATATCTTTTTTTTATCATTCAAAATCAAGTACATACTGAACCAATCCAAATAAAGGATAGTGGTCTATAAGGCACTTCGCAATGGCATCATTGTGGCAGACTAGCCCATTGATGTCATGAATTACTGATACAAATATATTTATGCAATTTGAGGTAGGCTGGCCATTGCTGCTCATTAATGTGTGAGGAACTACAAGATCAAGTACACTGAGCCTGTACAAGTACATTTCTATCAAATTTTAACATATCTGCAAAATTTACATATCTAATTTAGACCAAAGATGTCATCAAGCTATCTAAAATAAGTACAGGTTTTGACAAAATTTGGCAGGTGCAACCAAATTACATACAAAGCTTGCAAAGTGACCAGATCCAGAGTGACACGGGGCTTACTCTAAGAGAAGCAGAGACTATTGCCCTTGATAGAGCTGGCTGGAGGAACCTGATGGAGGGGAGCAAGGGGCCATTACCTGGCCTTTGCATATTGGCAGGTAGGCAGGCTTGCAAAGTTGTTGAAGAATGCTGTAAATTGCAAAATGTTTGTGTAGTGGTTTAATTTTTGCGGTGGCCCCTTACTGCAAAATCAGAACACAGCATATTTGTGTTTTGCAATTCTGCTGCACTACAGAATTGCTTCAAACTCAAATGCCTCAAAAAACCTCCTTTTCCCTGCTACTACAAAATAAAACCACTGCAAAAGTCAATATACACTTAAAGTACATACTGCAATTCTAGTCACTTCACCACTTTTTCATGACAAATATATTTTCTTCTCTAAGGCCACACCAATTTAATTTGTTGGTTCTCGGATTCGCCTCTTGGTTTTTTTCTGATTTGCAAAAAAAAAAAAAAAATTTGATTCTGGTCCTGAATCAACTGAAAATCATGTTTTGCCCCCCAACAGTTGAGGAAAGTCCTTTTCTTCCTAGTTGTTACAGTTTTCCCATCTATTATTGCAGTGGTTTGATTAAAAGTTCAAAATTCAATGTTTAAATTTTAACCCAGCCTTTTGTGTTGACTACATGGCTCATTTTGTAGCATTTAAGCCTATAATAGGATGCCTAGACCTGTTTTTATTTTATTTTTTTTCGCCCTGTCGCTTCATATTTTTTCTGAAAAAATCTGAGAACCAAGAAATTAAATTGGTGTGGCCTAATGACACATTCAAAGCTGTGTCCCATCTTTCCACTGCTTCCCATGATAGATTTAATACATCTTAACATTGCAACATGGTTAAGAGAAAAACACGAGTAACACGTAAACTATTATGATACAATTATGATCATTAACTGTATTGTAACAATTAAGAGATTGCAGTTAAATGACTTGTCAACATAACTTTCCCCTACAAATACCTACCGAAGTCATACATTTAACTACAATTGTGTAACTATAAATTTCTATTGTCTACTGTACAATAGCTTTTAATTACTATAAATGTTTATTGTGCACTGTACAATGCAAAGAAAAAGCTTTATCTATCTATGATCAAGGTGGAATCTCAAAAAGGCACATTCAAATTTGTACACAATTCCCTGTTCATTTTCTTTCATATCAACTGTTTACTCCAATGAATAGATAATATGATAAATCAATCATGTCACATTTTAAAAATAATCTAAGTAACAAATTAGAATGAGAAGTTACAACACACACAGATCTCAAAACATACACGTAAATATGAATTTTTTCGCACTGTAAGAGATAAAAAGCACAGTAATACTGTTACAGTAGTACTTTCCCTTTAGGCCAATGTCACAATTTCCAAATGAATTATCAAATTAGAATAAGACATTATAACACACTCAGACCTTTGTACATACATAAGTCAAATAAAAAAGAGTATGTCTTCCATGTTTTCAGTTGTAAGTGATAAAAAGTTGAAAAGCATCAATATCAGATTCTGTTAGTGTTAATTATGGTTATGAATCTTCATTGTATGTTCATGCCCATGGGGCGAAATGCACACATAGATCTATGAAACAACAGCTGCACGGAATGCATGAAGCACTTCTAGCAAATACATGTATAGTTTTAACACTTTGGGATCCTTGCATCAGACAGAATTTTTGATATTGCTCATCTGATGTTGACGGATTGAAAAGACTTTCATCAGTCCAGTTCTGAGTCGGAGTGTGTCTGTAACATGTGAGAAGACAGCGGTCCCAGCTCCAGCTCGGTACCTCTCTGCTTCTCCTTGGCTTGGTAGATGTGATAAACCACTGTGTAGACAACACACATGAAGAGCAGGATGCCCAGTATGTGCCAACAGAAAGCCATGGAGACAAACATCATGTTTTCATGACTCTCCAGGTCCCACTCATGGCCAGGAAAGGGAGGATACAAAATCCACCCAACCTACAGGAACAGATAATATAATACATCAGGTTTAAAAGGATTTATATACAGTTATGTCAGGGCTAGAAATCCTTTTTCTATGCATACCTGCACTTCAAGTACACGTACACACCAACTTAGCCATAGTTCAATCTTTCCATGCTACAAGCTAGCCACGCTACATGCTAGCCACGCTACAAACTAGCCATGCTACAAGCTAGCCATGCTACAAACTAGACACGCTACAAGCTAGTCACGCTACAAACTAGCCACGCTACAAACTAGCCACGGTACAAACTAGCCACACTAAAAGCTAGCCAAGTACTACAAGCTAGCCACTACAAGCTAGCCACGCTACAAACCAGCTGGTGACACTAGCTGAAGCTCACCTGCCAGAACCAGGTCCCTTGTACCAGTGTGAATGCCGTCCTGACCATGGGCAGGAGTAAGGTGTCGGGCCTCCAGGTCTCCAGACCGCTGACCGTCACACACGGCGCCACGGCCAGCAGCAGCAGCTTGTGCAGACGGACGTCCAGGTCAGCGCGGCCATGCAGGTGGTAGAAGAACAGCACCCCTTCCACCGCAAATGCCAGGGACATGGAGAGGTGGTCTATCCCGCTGGGTACGGGTGCCTTCAGGGCAATGAGGACGTCACAGAAGCCGTTGAGGGCAAAGAAAAGGTACATGGTGGTGTGCTGCCAGTTTCCCAGCATGTGGAACTGACCGGTGACTGGGTCAATGAGTGTCCAGTGGGCGGCTATCTGTTCACACAACAACCCTGCAACATATGTACAGTCAGGCTGGTCAAACATAGGGAAGAAAATACCCTGTACAATTCTGTGATTAATCTTGGGGAAAACTGAACATTCTAGAAAAGTTGGAAGAACAACTTCACAACCTCAAGTCCAAAGGTGATTATAGACAGAATACATCTTGCTATCACATTGCCTAGGGATATATCAAAGAGCACGAATATAGTACTACATCGTGTTGAACAAATGTGTTGAAAACCTGGGATTTGTTGACAAATTGGCTTTATTTTGGCCGGGAATACCAGATTAGTTCAAGACATAATGTGCTGGAAACAGATAAACACAACGTCATCATGGAAATTTCTGCTAAAATGACAAAAACATGTAAAAGAAACGAATGCTTCTAGTTTTGGCACCAATAATCTTACAAAAACTACATTTACTGAAGCCAAGAACTGATGACACAGAACTATCTTTATCTGGTACCTGCTAATGCGAATATGATCTTGCACAGTCCTTCCACAGGAACCCTGCTCAGGAAGCGACACACCAGCGGGGCGTTCTTACAGCAGACAGCAGAGCTGGTCTTCCGGCCTCCCATCCGACTGGCCCACATGACAGAATATCTGATGGTCCACCAAATAGCGAAGAGCAAGAAAAAGCTGCCTGGTGCAGCATGGCCAACTAAATTACCCATGGTTGTCTGAAAAAAGGACAATACAGAAGGTTAGCACAAGGAAGTTAGTCCCTAAATATACTACTATATAGAGGCACAATATCCTGGGTGTCATCCTATTTTTTAATGGGGCCCTCAGTCATACTGACCCTAAAAGTAGTGTAGTAAGTAGTAGTGGTAAAATAAACATTGCTAAAAATTATACTCTAGGTATAGTAGTAGGAAGTAGTAGGATGGCAACCAGGCATGAGGATAGCAGCGTTACGTATGTAAAGTGGCACCAGTGGCCTTGTGTTGAATCTAGAGGTCATGTGCTTGAATCCTGAACAAGTCCTGATGTTTTACCCTTACTAGTAATGAAAGGAATTTAGGTCAGTATAAACTTGAACTTGAAACAAGAATGTCAACTCTTATATTTAACAGGATGACCCTGTCAATGTTGCAAATTTTTTATTTATTTAACAGTGCATATTTTCAATGGTACATAACCCAGGATTAAACCCCTGTGACCACTCAACTGCCTGAGCTACACTAGTAGTACCGGTAGTACTGGTTCGTAATCACAGATTGGATGGATTCAAAGGAATTCCTGTGCTTGGTGTCAATAAGATGTTTTTTGTGCTATAATGATCTGACTGTCAATAGTTATTGCCATATTACTGGCTTTTGTATCTTTTTTTACCTGGTCTTGGCAGGTTATCTGGCAGAGCATTTTAACCTCCTTGGGCAGAGTGATAAATAAACGTTTACTTTAACCTGCTAGACCCACCCTGTCCTCAGAGTCACTGGACTAGTCTCCATCAGACTACTCCTTTGAAGGCTGAATAAATAGTAGAAATCGGTGTAAAAAGGAACGTAGCTGGACAAGGGGAGTTAGCCGGCCATAGAGGTATACCATACAAGGTCCAATGTGCCTGCTACGTGTACAGTCCTTTTTAGACCGATTTACAGTATATTTATTCAGCCTGCAAAGGAGTCTGGTGGAGACTTACCGAGGCCAACCGCTCTTTATCTCTACACCTTCACTACAGCCATGATTCTGAGGATCACATAACGGGTCTACTGGAGACATTGACCTCCCCATTGTCACATCAGCTGTGATGGGGTCAGAAGTGTCCGTTACGGCGCGCCAATCCCCACCATTCATAAATCTCGGATCGTTTCAAAATAACGCTTCAGAAGGATAGAAATTATACGTTCCTCACCTTATTTCGTAGAGTTAGTTCTCCAACACACAGTCAGTACTGCCAGGCCTTTCGATCCTATCTAAAATCTAAATCAGTGTGCGTGTGTAGAACTGCACGTAAGCACTAGGAGGATCCTAGTAACTCATAACGTCACCTGGATACACCTGTACGTACGTACGGCCCTGTACCGCTGGGGTCACCCCCATAACCCGGAAGTACTAACTTTTACCTTGTGACCTGGATATTCCATTGGTAGTCAGGGGGTGGGGTGGATGCCATGGATCATTAATTTCCTGAGAGTATGGGTCTGCATTACACAATCGGTGCTTCCAGGCCTTTCACTGTTCTTGACCAGGGTTCTTGACTAAATCAAGGAGCTTTAGATTTTAGGGCAACGGCACATACGTCCTGTCACAGTACAAAAAGCACGTTGAAACCCTATCCCGGCCCGGCCCATTCTGTGAACAGGTGTATAATAAGTCAGGCGGCTTCCCTAGTTGGTCCTGTATAAGTTAAACAATTTAAACAGGAGACGAGTGTAAAAAAAAAAGGCGTGGCGAATCTTCTTGAATCGGGAGTTTTTGCTGGCAGTCTTCAGAGCCTCCAGATTCAAGAGACGCTAGAATGTCAATAAGTCTTACTCATAGTATCATAGTATGCACCATTTTTAGGATCACCCTAAACTGTTCCAAGCTTTTCTTGTGAAAACCTACCTCCCATGGTGTGAAAAGCTGTAACCTTCGGTTGGTTTTATATATGATAACAGCCAGGAGTTGTTCAATTTGTGTAACGGTTGACGCAATGCAATGTTATATTACATGCATGTAGTGATTTGAAGTACATGTATTTCTCTTTTCTTTGTTTTTTGATTGCTCAGCCGCAACGACTCACGGGCATCACTCCAAAGTTCATCGGTAGCGGCAAATACAATGTACTAGAAATACTTGTAACGGAAAGTTCTTCTTCGGGTGGTTTGCACAGCACTCATTTACACTGACTAGACTAGTCTCCGGCGGCTCCTGACTGATTCGCAACCTTGTGCCGCGCCGACTCTCTCACGAATTGATATTGACTTTAATAAACACCTTGTTTGGACATAATAGGCAACTTTAAAAGGCGAGGCGTCTATTTCGTTTTTTTTTTAAATCCGGCTAATCCACTGACTTGTATATGTTGTAGATATACAAAGTTGGGGTCAAAGTTGGCTTCAACGGGCACGGCTATTACGATTCTTCTGTGTTTTGGGTTCTGACGGTTACGTTGGAAGACTGTCACGACGTCGGGGTGGTTAGCACACGTTCTAACCAACCAACCAACCAACCACCCACCCACCCGCACGCCCGGCCCCGGTAAGGAATTAAAAGGGATTCGAAATGTTCTGGAGTGAACTGTGGATGGGTTGGGAACTGGTTGAGATTTAACCCCCGAACACGCTCTGACCACTGCTGATCTATTCCCAATCCAATCACCAGCCAACGATTTGGCACCCGAATTCCATTCGGCTGGCGCACTGACGAACACCAACCAACCACTACTCTCCAAGCAGAGGTTTGGGTTTTGGGGGTATTTTTAGCGTGTTTTAGGCTTTTTTTATCGGGGTTTCTCTTTTGCACTGAATTGGTGGGGGAAAAAATTCAGTGCAAAAGAGAAACCCCGATAAAAAAGCCTAAAACACGCTAAAAA